TCTTTCCCCTTCCCCTTCCTTGTATTAAGGCCCGAGAACACTCCTCTTCACCCCTACGGGGAGATGAAAATTTTTTGTCTATTTCATTCTCTCTCCCTTAGTCCGTACACTCTATGCATTGGACACAGTATACAGGACAAATCTGGCTTCAACATTTGGTGCGGTGAGCATGGATTGTGCCATTAACAAGTAGACGAGCAGCATCGTGAAAAAGCTCTTCAGAGAGACACTCATAGCAATGAGTACACAGGGGGAACTTGCACAGCAGCAAATTCAATCTAGTTATTCTTCGCCGACGGTGGTCTTCAAGAAACTCCGACTTTTTTCACGTAGATATGCATATTTCCAGCTCCGATCTTGCAAAGTTTATGTTCAAAGCCCGAGCTACAGTTTTCTTCACCGCTCTATTAGATCTCTTGTGCGTTAAGAGAGGCTCAAACTCTCGATCAACAGGAGTCTCAATGTTTATAGTTGAATAACCATCGTTCAAGGCTCAACAACCAATTGTGCTTCTTGCAGAGGTTATCCACCAAGTTCTTGCAGTTCACAAGGTTGGAATCATGAGCTACTGAACCTCCCTTAAACACAAAACCTTTAGGAAGCCTTAGGTTTTGTAATGGCACTTGATAGGAAGTCAACACCTTTTCTGAGAAGCATGTGCTAGCCAATTGCGCCACCATCAACTTTTCCACCGTGTAGACTGTTTCTACTTGTCGGTCGACTCAATGCGCTGGTCTTACCTGCCCTTCGGTCGACCTCCCTCTTAAACACGCTGAAATCTCACCGACCGGCCGTCTCCCTGTGAAGATCGCTCACCTGTCTTGTATCTTCTGCTGCGCACGGGAATCACTGCGCTGGTCATATCGGATTGACTGACCATCTCCTCGCGAAGGCCGACAACCCGCCTTTCCTCCTATCATGCAAAGAGACACACATATCGCCTCACGGACCTATAGCTGCTGGACTTCTTAGTAATGCGGAAGTGTCCCCTGCATGAATGAATTATGGCCCGACTTATCTATTTTGAGGTGGCCTCTTTGCTTTGGCCGCCTTTCCGATCGACTGTTTCACCGGCTGATTGCCACGCCGCTCTGGCAGCCTCACCTCTCCGCTCACTTACCTGTTGTCGTTCAGATGCCCGACATTGACCACCTCTCCTCGCCGATAGCTTGGATCTAAGATCCCCAATGCGGCCGACCACTCCGATCGACCTCTTGCTTTCGATTGGACACTTGCTTCTTACCAGATCATATCAACGAAGTAATCCGTCGCTTTACGGAGGTATTGTTAAACGAAGTAATATGTTTTCTTCAAGAAGGTAATATTATTTTTGTCTTTTATTGCAGCTAAAAATTCCTTATAATGCCCAACAAAACTAAAGGGATTGCCGCTAAAATTTTTTCTTATTGTCAGTATTTTAAATAAATTCAATAACTACTCCTTATGTGCAAGAATTTAAGGAAATTTTTGTTGAATTCTATTTTATGCAATTTATACTAGAACTCGGGGAACTCGGATCCAAATAGCAAAATCAACAAGGAAACCAAGGAACTTTTCTCACCATGAGCTCTAGTTCTGTAGCTTAGATTGGACAAAAATTTGGAGATGGTTCCCTGCCCAATAGCGACAAGCTCCGCAAAGGATATGACGACAATCACCCCCTAAGAGGAGTCTAGGCGGCCTCCTCCCATAGAGATGGGACCCAACCTAAGACGGAGGTCCCATCAGGAGACAAAGTCCCACGTGAGTGAAGGGTTAGAGCCTAGCTTCACCTTTCAAGGATATGCGCTGGTCGCACAATAAAACCCCCCGATCAAACAAAAGTGATCGGTTGGGACGTCAATTCGTCCGATCGATCATCTAATGGTGTATACCAAAAAAAGGTTTGCATAGATCTTGAGATAATCTAATAATCTAAATAAGAAGACGAAAATAGCTTGTACTCATTTCCTTAAATCAAGGGTAAAGATGTATTATTTTATTTACCCTTTTTTATCTTCTATAAATATAAGAACCGTGGCATGTATTAAGGACTCTTGGGCTTTTCTTTCTCAACTCATCATGTAGGGAAAACTCTCTCCCCTTCACCTAAACCTTTAGTGAAATAAACGGATCAAAGAGCTCGAGAACACTCCTCTTTGCTCCTACGGGGCAAATCTCTTTCTTTTCATTCTCTCTCCTTCCCTCGGTCCTTACGCTCCATGCTCTAAGCATGGTCTACATGACAACTCTGGCTTCAACAGAATTGCTGTAATGCCACCCACTCTACCTTTTGATTTATGATTTGGATATTGGCCCAAAAGTAAAGAAGAAAATTCAAATCCATTAATGTGTATGCATTAATGTCTGGCTATCTTGATCTTTTGAAGGTTTCATGCATAACACGTGTGACTTTTATCTTTTTTTTGTTTTTTTTGGTAGAATTTTTTATATGCTGATGTGGCATGATACAATCAAGAATATATATTTTTTATTGATAAGATGCTGCTATTTCTCACACCACTGAGTGGAATAGATGGTGTTCATTTGATGGTCTTTTAAGTATTGTGATTATGTGATCAATAGAAATCTGAATTCCTTTGGATTTAATAGCCTTGCTTATAACCCTTCAACCATGTCACTTTTGATGCTGTTCCTTACAGTACCTTACACATTTAAAAACGTTTGAACTGTCAAGGCTGACAATGGTCTTAGCCTCAATTCATGGTCTCGGCCTTTTAATTACGTTAATAGTAAATAAAACATGTTACTTTTTACGGTACAAGATGATTGTTTCATTTTCATCAACTTTTATTATTTTTGTGAAACTATTGCTTGGACTTGTGAACTAGAAGCACTTGGTGAACTTGTAATCCATCCAACATAATAAATTGAAATTTTATTAGTATGGCTAATGGTTATCATATTTAATTGTTGGAAGATTTACATACACCACTAAATTCTTATGTATTTACATATCTAACTCTTAAACTTCAATTTTCACATACATACCACCTTACCTATGCCTGAAAAGGTGTATTTCACTTTGTAAAAATAATTAAAAAAAAAACAGTAGTATTTTTATGTGATATGGCAAATTTGGGTGGTATAAATGTAAAAAAGCAAAGTTTTAAGTTTTCAATATGTAAATACATAGGAATTAGGTGGTATGGATGTAAATGCTACATTGTCCTGTATTGTTTCTGCCAATGTGGGGTATGCCTTTATTTTTAAATGATATTTATATTTATACAGAGGTTTTGGTAAATCTTAGGAAACTCAGAGTCTTGTTTGGTAGGGTATAGTGTGAAAGGTGTAACCATGTGATTTGGATTTTACACACAAGGTGGTTACTAGAATTTAATCGCAACATTAATATTTGATAGGAACTTTCAATTTTTACAGGTTTTGTATTGCCGTTTTAATTTCTTAGGTTCTTTTTGTCATGTTATTTTTCTCAAAAACAAAGCTAAAAAGTGGAGATGAATATTGCATGATTGTCTATCATTCTGAAAACTCAAACATAAATATTGACCATTTTAAAGCTTAAAAGTTGATTACTGTATAATCATCCCATGGAGACGTTGTTAAATGTTTAAGAGGAATGAATTGCTAAACAACATAACAAGTTGAGAGCTGATAGAAAGAATTAAACTATATTATTTGGTAGTATAACCCTTTGAACCTTAAACTATATTATCCATTGAAATCCAAGGTTTTGAAATATTAATAGAACTGTAAACATTTGAACCGCTACCAATGCGACTAACTCCTGTATGAATAAGTAGTAGGCTGGTCGTAACATTATCCTTTTATGACTTTGATAATCAGCCTTGGAAAACATTAAGCATTTATTCATATCATCTATTGTTATTTACCTGGCATAAAACTTACATAATTTTTCAACATGATTTGGTAGGCAATTACCCATTTTAGAATGAAACCTGACTTCTTTAAGCTTTTGTTCTAGCTTTGTGGGTTTGATAGAATATTACCTCATTATTGTCACTCTAATCGGATGAGAAAGAGATGCTTGCACCAAATTGAGATTAGTAACCAACTACCATGCTATCCATGTTGGGAACAAATTCCATTTTGTGAGTTGTGTGAAACACCATCTTGTTAGAAGTTTCTATAGATTTGCCATTTTTCCATTTAATCCTCTTGGACAATAATTCCATTTGTTTTGTCCTTTTGAACACTAAATATCTTGCAAAAGGTGGAGTCTTATCAAGCCGTATTTGAGCTACAATTGAGATGTTGACGCAAGTTTTTCACTTTATAATTAGTTGGCCTCACATATAAAAAAGGTTATTAGATGCTATTTTAAAACTTGATTGTGTGCTTGTCTGTTTGACATATCATAAATGGCTGGCGTTATAATGCAATGAATGAATCATATTTGAATATGGAAAGATTCATGCCTTTTGTACTAATTATATGCATCATTATAAGAATGCTGATATGGATTATTAGAAAGTGGCTCAGATAATATATACAGGTGTATTTAAAAGCATTGTAAA